CTTGTAGAGAGCTGGAAATTCACGTTTATACTTCTACAAGTTTGTAGTATACAATTACTTATGTGGAAACGGCACAGCATCACTTTGGCAAACGCACGAAAATTTCCGTTTCTTGATTTCTAACAGAGAAAAAATACGGCAAAGGCGTATATAGATATTTCATGTGAATATTGTTTACGTGAGCAAGTTAGAATTTTCGTAGGTTTTTTATGAACTGAGTTACGATTTTTCTCAATTTTTCGGACAGTTGCATCTTTTTAGTCTTTGGCTCGAATCTCGTGGTGGATCAGAGCTGTTGCTAAAGCAAGATAGCCGTCTTGTAGAGCTTGCTTTGCTCTATCATATGATACCTTGAAGGCTATTCAGGAATGAAAAATATATGACTTATTGCGGTTGGAATTCAAAACCCGCATTAATTCTGTTACAACCTAATATTAAAACTGTCTGACTGATGTTCTCAAAGCTATCTCAAAACTGTTCTGTTGAGGAGGAGCTTCTGGTCGCAAAGTTTTTGTAATCTAACCTCTACCTCAAATGGCTTAAATCGAAGATTACAGGTATACACGTTTCTTCCTGTATGATAGCCTTATCTGCCAGTCTTTGATAGCCCAACTCTACAGGCATAGTGGAATGAACATGTTAGCAAAGGTTGTGAACTGGTTGATTATGATTCCTAGACAGTGTGAAGATGTACACGTGTAGTTCAATAGGTTAACGTGCTGACTCTCGTTGATTAGAGGAGAGTTCTATCACAGCAGGTGCAATGGTTTTGCGGTCGACCTTCCATTGCACGTGATTACCTGTAAAATCGAAAAGCTATAGAAACTCGCGAACCTCACGCCCAAAACATGAGCTTGTCATGAGGTTCGCGAGGTCGCCGTCATGTCTTATGCCATCATGTCGGGTGGATTACTACTGACCCAGGAGATGGTCAGCAGTCCGGGCGGCCGTAATGTCAGTTTTTCCCAATAAGATCCTAGCAGCCCATGTGGGATCCACAGCGCTCAGGGCACGTATCCGCTGTGCTCCTAGGAACTGCCTAGCGCAGATGCTATTGAACTGACGTCGCGCCGCAAAATTTCGTGAAGATATGCTTTCCGTATTAGGTGATTGCATAGACGTCGGAAGCGTTGCGTGGGCATTAGTGAAGGTTACAGCTTCTGGTGTTGCTGAAACGTCTTCTATCTTCTTCGCCGTTGTTGGTATAATCATTGTCGTAGTAGGTATAATTGATGATAATACCGAATCCATCACTGACACAGTCGATAATACTGAATCTACAACTGTATAGTCCAATCCATAGAAACAAATCTCGTTGTTCTTGTCAGGATTTCTTGCGGATGAGGGGTTGAAGTTGAGGTCTTGGATCGTAATATCATCTATAGAGTAGGCAAAGGTGTATGATAATACACTTCCGTTACTGTGGGCGAAGTGATAAAAGAAATAGTAGTTGATGGTGTTGTTGAAGATACAGAGATAGGCTGATATTTCTTCGGTGTTATCGTACTAAATGATTGAGGCGATTTTGTCGTTGTGACAATTCCAATGGTTATATTAGGAAAAGTATCTTTTGTAAAAGGTGTGATGGTGGAACTGCTAGACTTTTTGAAAGCGGTTGTTGGTGGCTTTCTTGTTGTCCTGCTTGAGGTCGTGGTTGTGAATCGTGTAATTATGAGCTGGATCGCAGTTGCGGATGTCATCATAGTTGTAGATGTAGAAGCTGTGGTTGTAGGAGTCGTTGTATGGGCTCTAGTTGTGGGAATCGTTGTGGTTCTGGACGGGGTTGTAGTTATAGGGGTTGTAGTTGTAGAAGTCGTTGTAGTTTTGGGCAGAGCTACAGTTGTGGGTCTTGTTGTGGTTGTGAGCGGGGTTTTAGTTGTAGACTTCGTTGTGGTTGTGGGTAGGGTTGTAGTTGTAGGTTTGGTCGTGGTTGTGGGCGGGGTTGTGGTTGTGGGCGGAATTGTTGTTGTAGGCTTAGTTGTGGTTGTGGGAGGGGTTGTGGTTATGGACTTCGTTGTGGTTGTGGGCGGTCTTGTAGTTGTAGGTTTGGTCGTGGTTATAGACAGGGTTGTAGTTGTGGACGAGGTTGTGGTTGTGAGCAGGGTTGTAGTTGTAGTTGTGGACGGAGTTGTAATTCTAATGGAGCTATCGAAGTAAGAGAGTCTTGATTTCTAGTCTGCATCCAGTGATCCTGGTAGATTGATGGCAAATTTCCCAAATTCCTTTTCCAAGTAATCATCGAAAATCATGGAAATTCCGGATTCTAAATCTCTACGAATGTTGTTTACTGCATAGTTCGGTGATTCTTTCTTCGCGATCTCTGCAAATAGATGTAGTTGTTTTATGCGGTATTCGCCGTACCGTATTGTACGTAACACAAGATGGCGTGGATCGTCGAACTTGTAAAGTCGCGCCGCTCTGTTGAGATCGCTGTTGGTGATATTCCAGCGTTCCATTTCGGCGAGAATCTTCCACCATGTTATAGGACGTGTATTGAAAACAGGGATTCGCCTAAGTTGCCTGATTCTGAATAGTCGTCTTATCAAGAGTATGGGTTCCATAGGTACGATTTCAAATGAAAAGGAGTTGGCTTGTCTATCCTTGAGGTACCGTGTAGCCCGTTTTATTCTTCGTTGATAGACAGCGCGTGACACATAGTCCTGAATTGTAATGTTTTGAGGGATATCGGGAAAGGTAACAGCGTGATTTGATGTTGTGAGATAACTGATACCCAGTTGACAGTACTCTGTGAGTCGTTCATGTAGCAAACTATCCTCAGAGAACTGAAATACGAGGTCCGGATGAGGCAGGACTATATACTTTGAAGTAATAAAGGCTTCGAAAACTCCAACGTGTTCGAATCTACATGATGGGGTAACTTCCATTGGTTCCCAAACGATCGGTATACTCCTGGGTAAGGCAAAATCCTTGAGTGTAAATACCATCTTGAATATCTCCCAAGGAACTGATAATATAGTGTCCGTCATAGGTGACGATTTGTCCTTCCTCAAGTGTGTACACACTGCGAAGATAGTTCCTTGTTCCCCACAACGGTATTATTATGTCGTCGTCCTCGATTTCCTTCGTACTTCGCAATCCCTCAGATTGCAAGACAAGCTCATAATCGTGAATCTTTCCTGTTTTCCTTGCCATTGCACATAGCTCTTGTGGGATCGATACACGTCGTCGTCGCAGTATGGTCGTCGTTGTACGAATACGGAGGAAACTGCTAATGGATACTTCAATGGCGTATCTGTAACACTTCGTTGCGTTATACCAAAGGGGATTGGAATTTTCCATGAATAGTCGTACTGTAGTTCGTAGCATGGAAACGTTTGCCGGAGTTGTACATTCGATTGTCTCTGGAAGTGAAAAAAATATTTGAGTACGGGTTTATACCGCATATCTGATACTCCGCCATTATGCCACTGCACATATTCAATGTCATTATGCATAGCAAATGCGCTCCTGGGGTATAGGCCTTCATGCTTCTTGCGAAACTACTTGACTGTTGTTGAAATATTGAGTCGTCAAGTGATGATGGGTTCCGTGGGCAATGCGGGCACGTCCCACAATTACAGTTCTTGTCCTTTGCCCTAACGAGTTCGCTCGACCATTAAATGCCGTGCGATTAGTGAAAGTCAGAGGGCGTTGGCGTAAAAAGAATGGAGGTCGTCTGAAATAATAACCATGCTGGTTGAAAAAAGTCTTGGAGGTGCTCGCATCATCCTCTGTCTTTGTTTGTTCCTATACTGATTGGTAGTTGGTTTTCCTTGCGGTGCTATTTTCATCTGGTTTAACTGTTGTTCCAGTCGGTTGATCTTTTCATCTGTAAGAAGTGCGTTAACAGCCGGTAGGGCGTCTCTATCTTCTCTTCTTTCCTGCTCCAGGATGCGATGCTCTTTCTCTGCGCTGGATACTATATCTTCAAATTCATCAGTATTTGGTCTTCTGATCGCCTTCCTAATTTCAGGGTTAAGGCCTTTGATGAAAAAATCAATGGCCATTTGTTTGACAATTGGTTCTCCCTGACCTTGAAAGGCGATTTTGGTTTTGCTGTAGATTTTTTTGGCGAACTCTCCTACTGTGTCCTTCCCCTGCGTCATGTTGTGTAATTCATTTCGAATGTTGCTAAGCAGTGACGCATTCTTCATCCGCTTGGCCAATTCGGTTACCAGTTCTTTCCATGGCAGTGTGTCATGGTTCGGAATCTATTGATATTTAAGTTTTGCTCCTCCCGTCAGATAAACTGGCAAAAGCCTTTTCGCGATCACGTTAGGAATAGCAAATTGGTGCGTCAAATCCTTACTCGTCCAGGAATTCCTCGAAAGTTTTGTCTTCCGAGCCGGAGAACTTATCCAATCTATTGCCCAACATCTTGAAGGCTTTATAAAGTTGCTCTTGAAGCTTTTCATCAGTAAGGGTCGGTGTCTGCTCATTGGAAAGGGTTGGTGTCTACTGATTAAAATTTTTCTCCCCCGGCATATTTTTGCGTCGCTTCAACTCGATAATTGCCTCTCTTTGTTGCTCTCTGCGCTGACGCCGCAATAGTCGTTCTGTCGCTGGTGATGCCGTATTGATCACAAGTTCTGAAAATACATGATCAAAAATGCACAATAATAGAATTGATAACACCGTTGCGTTACGTGAGTGATAGTGAGGAGGTAACCGAGCTTGGCTGGAAAGTTTCTAAGTTGATTACTTTGCTCTTGGATTGAAATAACAGGATTTTATTTTACCAAGCTGAAGCTAAAAAGAACTATTCACCAATCTTTTTTTGTTGAACAGACAAGCGCTGCTCCAGGCATTTTCTCTCTACTATCGTCATGCTCATTATCCGAAAAAGAAATTTATCCAAAGTTCTATAAGAACAGGAGAGAGGAGAGGGGTTTTTTTAAAGCCGATCTCTTACTGAGACTGAGACTAACATAAAAGTACACTAGTAGTTTCCGTGTTTATATAGTGCATAACTTCAAAGTATGATATGTGGATATAGAAAATCAGAATAGTTTTGATGGGTGCGGCTTCCAGATTCCGCGGTCTCGCTCTTCGTCCTCGTCCCACGACCGATTCTTCTGCGCGTTGCGAGGTTGCTGTTCCTCGTCGTCCCATGAGTGGTGCTTTTGGGTGTCATGGTCCTGCTGCTCCTCCTCGTCCCATTTAAGAAGTTTTTGATCTGGTTGCAGAGCTTGGCGTGGCAGCCTAGCAAAGACCAACCAGATCTGCTCCGGGTGGAACGCCAAGAGGGCGGCCGGACAAGGAGACCAGAAGTCAAAAACTGGTGCCCTACGTGCCTGTAATTTGTAGTTGTATCTATACAGGAGATGATTATACAGGGTATGGCATTCTTCCCTAGGGCATCGGCTGCACGGGAACCTGAGTTCCCTGGCATTTTTGCCATGCAGCCTCCATCTGTTGTGGTTGGGGATGTTCTGGCCACAGCTGCCATTAAATCTGGACGTCGCCAGCGAAAAGAGTCTTTGGCACCATTTCGTGATGTCTTCCGGCCAGAGCTGCGCGAGTGACATTCCAGTTAGTTCCTCCAGGAGAGTCTTGAGTCAATAGTACTGCACGTACGGTCTGATGCATGTCTCTAAGAAATACCGCCATAAGACGCTGTTGGTGCTTCTTCCATTCTTGCGTCGGTTCGTCGGTCATGATCGGCGTTTCATCGCGAATAGAAATTAAAATGAATGCAAGCAATTCAATTCCGTTCATATCTGAAATTCTAAAGTTGATTTGAATAGGAGGTGAGTTCAGAGCCGGAACCTCCATGTAAGGGACCGGCTACTTTTGAATGTTGACCACTCTCCCCCAACAATATTTATTTTGGTAAATTTAATAAACAATTGGAGCCAGAGCAATACAGCGGGTGATGGGAATCTGCCATCTAGATAGAGAGGGGATGAGTGGAAATAGGAAGGAAGAAAATAATAAAGATTAGATTAACACCATGTGATTCCGATGTCTCACAAACATAAACTCACATATTTATACTATTCCTTAATGGAGTTTCTAGCAATTATCGATGTTTTAAATTGGTGTTTTACTTGATAATAAGGTGAGAATTATGGAAAATTCATATCAGAACACTTTCACAATTCCATCTCGACCGGTTCCATCATGCTGCTGATTGCTTCAAACTTGTTACTTCCTAATTTTCATTTTTCACATCATTTCGTGTCTCGCTGAGTGATCCTGTCCTAAAAGCTATTGCAGTTTCAATTGCAGTTGCTGCTCTGCAAATATGAGCATGTTGTATATGAGAGCTTCAAAGAATAAACATCTTACATAAATATCTCTTTACACCTTAAATAAAGCAACCACGTGTGACATATTAGTTATCTGGAAGTAATTACCAAATAAGGTTCTTCATTAATCATTGCTGCACCATTAAAGTGCTAGAAAAAATATTACGACATCTTCTATGATGTTTTGCCACACGGGTTTGTTACAAGCTTTATGACTGTGCAGCTTTACTATACAATCACAGCTGAACCAAGATGTTGTTCTCGTAAACGTTCCAGCGAACTTTGAAGGCAGTGACCCGGGAGATTCGGGTCCTGGGGGATATACGTGTGGTGGGGTTCCTGGTCACCCCACCGACCTCCAAGGGCAGTCCGGGTGGGTGATGTTCCCCCTGGGCCGAGAAAATGGCCCTTGAGCCCGCGCGCAACCCCAACTGGCGCACGCTTGGACGGCCTTCCTTGTCTGTTCGGCGCGGGACCCCACGAGCGCTCCCCCCATGATGCGTGCTATCCAAAGCAAGAATTACAGGAGACAGGGTCTTCGTCTGGGGACCTCCCAACTTTCCATTAAAAATCTCTTCCGAGTTGCTTTTTTGGAATTACGAAAACGCCCCAAAACCGGCCTTTTCAGCCTGCTCAAAGCTCAAATTCGGATTCTACGTGGCGAAAAGGCCTAAAATATGCAAAAAGGTGGAGGTGCAAAATCTGCCGGGACACCGCCTTTAAGCGACAGCTAGTCCGTAATAGGTTATATGATACGGATTGTATCACACAGAATTGTCTTGTATGCCCTAACGGCGGAGCAGGGGATTGCGCCAAGTTTGGGGTAGTTTACGAGCTCGAATGTCTGGAATGTCATGCAACCTACATCGGAGAAACAGGGCGTTTACTCAGCATTCGCGTTAACAAACATCTGGCCAGTAAGAAACGAGGGAGCACGATAAGTCCACTCGGGAAACACAGAGCGGATCATAACGGTAACGATTTTTGCGTCAAGTGCAGAATTTTAGCGTATGAAAGTAAGGTTGCGGCTCGCAAAGCACTGGAAGCGTCATTCATTTTCTCGCCAGCCGAAGATGAATGGCAAGAATGAACAGCTTTCTATCACCAGCGATCTTATGCCGTTCATATCGTACTGTCACTTATAGGATACCCACGACCACTTAAGCTGTCCTCTTATGGGACAGTTCAGTCGTTTGTCATCAGTGGGTGAGTGAGCAGTGCCGACATTGGTGAGTTGCCATAGCATAAGGATTTTGTAGCGTCCCTCAAAACGAATCGAGAAGCAAGTGCAGGAGAGCATCGTATAAAGCAGCAAATACGAGCGATACTATCTTTCAGGCCTCTGAGGAAGGCATTGTTGCCGAAACGTCAGGCTGAATAAATAAAGCTTGTAACAAATCTGTGTGGCAAAACATCATAGAAGATACTACTACTACACAATGCCCAGGTTTTACGAACAGAGAACATATGAAAATATTACGACAATTTTTGTCCTGTGCATATGTAAATTTTTCTGTGTCATTGTGCTCTGCGCATTGGGCCCCCAGCTCCTAACGTCAGTGGTAATGTGGCTCTCCTGCATTGGCGAGGGGAGCCAGAGGTCCCATCTGGGATAAAATGTAGCGTACATTGCGGTGGCGTTACCTGTAAGAATGCTACATGCACCTGCCACATAAACCTGCCATGCACACCTAGAGGCCCCTGCCACTAGATTGCTTAGCAGCTACTCGACACCTGCGGCTCGACTTGTACTCCCAACTATCGACTTTTGGGGTATGGTACTTATAACCAAGGCGTATAACTAGTATTGTGCCAGCCTTCTGACAGATCTATCTTACTAGGCATGATTATAAGATACACATGAACACTGATAACACTAGATATCCCCGGAGCCCAGACGAGATGTGGCTCACCGTTTCAGTACAAATCACACTTGTAAAATGCCCACCATTTATCTACAACAATCCCCTAAACTCAAACACACGGGTGGAGCACAACCAGCCAGATGTTAAACTAGGTGCCGACAATATCAGAAACCCCCCGTGGCGGTGTCGCCGGCGTATGCCAGGCGCGAGCGTTCACGGGGTTACCTCGTCTGCGGGTTGCCTGTCCTCCAGGGCGTGTTGGATGTAGATGACGCGTGAGTTGGGGACGGCGCTATATCGATCGACAGGAGTGAAGACGAAACTGGGACCCAACCGCTCACCATGTAACGACACTGACGACTGATTTGAAAGCTGCGGCAGTAGCGGTGTGAAGTCGGGAGCAACGCGAGAACAGCGTTTCGGGACCCCTTCGCAACGCGGCGGCGGCCTCCTTTGAAGGAAGTCGCGAATCCGCGACTCTCTGATAAAAGCTCATAAATCCTCGTCCGTAAACGTTCCGCAGGTAAGGTAGGGCAGATTTGGAATCTGGGTTTTATGGTCTCTATGGTATACTTCCCATCATAGTTGCGATAGGAGAAGTGATGGATCTTACCCCTTCACTTTGAGGCCAATCTCGTCGACCCCCTTCACCTGGGCTGAGATTGGATTGTACTCTGAGAATATGATAAAAATCGTTATTAAAAGGTTTTGCAGGCTAAGTACCTCAAACAACAAGTACACTCATAAATTTACAAAAGAAATGGTATTTATGTTTATTTATATTATTTATTTATCCTCGTAGCATTCATTTGGAGAGCAGAAAGTGAAGACAAAAAACCAATTAATTTTTGAAGCACATAAAATTCCTCATATCTCGCGGCACAGAAGACCTAGAAAAAAGTCGACGGTCTATGTTCATTCTCCATGACCTCAGCTTTCGAATGGTGTAAAGCATGTTAGGGCTTTTTTGCTTCCCGGCTCTAAAAATCATTTCGGTGACCCATAAAAGCAAACACATTGTATAGGTCGTCCCGAAAGTTTTTGCGCACGATTTTCAAAGATTCATAAATTCTGATTTTTCCAACCGATTTGACTGCTTTCACTTTTCTGTGAAAGGGTAAGTCATGCTCTTTATAATGACATCTCAGCTGCTTAGTAATGGTCATCTGTTGCATAGATAGAAGCTCAAAACCAAAATCACTCAAAATTTGACTTTTTGTGTAGGGTCATAAAAAATCAGAAACTTGCAACAAAAATCGGAGCAGTCGGTATTGTAGGTTCTTTCACCAGCTCTTTCTAACAGTGCAAAGTTTGCTCCGATTGAGCGTCTCCATGAAAAGTTATGATTTCCAAGCAAGCAATAAAAAAGGCGAATTTGATTTATTTTGGCATTTTTCAGGAAAATCATAACTTTTCATGGAGACGCTCAATCAGCGCAAGCTTTGCACTGTTAGAAAGAGCTGGTGAAAAAACTTACAGTACCGACTGCTCCGATTTTTGTTGCAAGTCTCCGATTTCTTATGACCCTACACAGAAATTAAAATTTTTACCATTTCTCTTCTATCGCTCCTATCTATGCAACAGATGACCATTACTGAGCAGCTGAGATGTGAATTATAAAGAGCATGACTTACCCTTTCACATAAAGGTGAAAGCGGTCAAATCGGTCGGAAAAATCAGAAGTTATGAATTTTGAAATTCATGCGCAAAAACTTTCTGGACGACCTAATAAGAGCGAGGTAGAGCAAGTTAGAGTAAAAAATGTGCTGTGGATTGACATCGTTATCAGCACTAGCGGGAACGTGAGCGAACGCGTCTATTTGAGCGTGCTTATCTTTGTTATATGTTTATGTTTTTTTTGGTAAGAAATGCGCTTTTGATTGACAGTTATGCCATCATTATTAGCACACACTCAGAAAACTATGGGAGATTGGTGAATTTCCACACCTTCACACAAAAACCCGCCCATTTATGGAATCTATACTCTGTAAACCTGTTGCTGAAGAAGGTCACTTTTGTAAAAACGCTCTAGACTCACCTTAAATAATTTGTAGATAATGGTTGGTTTCAATGAATCAAAAACTCTAGGACATTCAGAAGAATAACATGTTATTAAAAAAACCCTTAATGTTTTTGGAAAGGTTGGCAGTTTGAAGAGGAAACGGCAGGCAGAATACTTCACAAAATCGCGAATGACTCGCATGTGTCCCAGTTCAACAGCGAGGCAGAAGGTGAATCTTACGCCGACTAAAATGTTGTCGACATTGAAACAGAATTGACAATTGAGGGAAACTCTCTGATTTCCTGCATAAGAAATCCAAGCAGATTGTCCAGTTTCAATGAGGAAATGTCTAAGAATTCCATTGCTGATCTTCAGGTTGCTGAAGAATTCAAGGCTGCTAAATTCACAAACATGGAATGAACAAAAGGAAGGTGTTAGTACAAAGCATAGTTACTGCACTTTGATCCCGCTGGAGTGCGAACCCAACTCTGTGCTTTATGCTTTTGGAAGTTATTCGCCTTATGACATTACCAGTGCGTCACCTCTGCTTGCAGAGGCTCGCACTGGCTCTACTATCTAGGCCCCACTCATTCTCGCATA